AAAAATACATACGTACATATATACTTATATATATAAAAGACTATAAGATATTAATTAAATTAAAGAAGTTGGGGAAAAAACAAAAGTAATGAAAGTAATTTTATATTTGTATAAAAAATAATTAAAAAAATTAACATAAACACTTCTCCTGATGAAATTTCGTCGGCATAGGTCTATGCCGGCAAATATCCGTCGGATTAGGTTTTTCCCGACAAAAAAACCTCTGCCGACGAAATTTCGTCGGGAGAGGTCTTTTTAAAAAACATATATATACATATATATATAAACTTAGGATGTTTAGGTTAATTAATTTTTGAAAATTTTATTTTTATTAATTAAATAATATATTTGACTGATTTGATTAGTTAAATTAGTAATTATATTTTAATTATTATTTATTTAGTGAATAATTAGCATTAAATATGTTAATTAACGTCATGAATTATATTACTTAATAAATAGTAATTCAATTTTTCTTTTTCTTTTTTTCCTTTAATATACACTAAGTAAATAATAACTAAAACATAATTACTAATCAAAGTAATTAAAAAAGAGAAATATATATTATGTTACTTAAAGGGTTTGTAAAATAGTGTAGCCGTCCGGCTATACGTTTGAAAAAAAATTTAAAAAACTGGTTATAGCCGTGCGGCTGTACTGTTTTTACATGTAAAAAAAGAGGAGCCCAGTCATTAGGCGCCACGTGTCAAGACAACTCTACTTTTAAAAAGAATTAAGAACGCAGAGTATAGCCGCGCGGCTGTACTCATTTTTGTTTTTTGAAAAAGAGGACCCTCCAGCGATCAGACGCCACGTGTCAGTATACTATTTTTGAAAAAAAAATCGTAGTATAGCCGCTCGGCTATCCTTTTTAAAAAAAATTTAAAAAACTGGTTATAGCCGTGCGGCTGTACTGTTTTTACATGTAAAAAAAGAGGAGCCCAGTCATTAGGCGCCACGTGTCAAGACAACTCTACTTTTAAAAAGAATTAAGAACGCAGAGTATAGCCGCGCGGCTGTACTCATTTTTGTTTTTTAAAAAAGAGGACCCTCCAGCGATCAGACGCCACGTGTCAGTATACTATTTTTGAAAAAAAAATCGTAGTATAGCCGCACGGCTATACGTTTCTGTTTTAAAAGTACAGCCGGTCGGCTGTACTCTGTAAACAGACTATTTTAGCAGTACAGCCGCTGGGCTGTACCCTGAATATTAGAAGTATAGCCGATCGGCTATACGCTTTAAATAGAATATTTTAAAAATATAGCCGCACGGCAATACCCTTTAAATAGCGAGTAATGTTATTTGGACACACAACATTGACACACTTAGTGACACCCGCTGATGTGTCAATGTATCATTTGCTCTTCTTTTCTCCTCGTTTTCTGTTAAGCGAATGATACATTAACACATCAGCGGGTGTCAACTAAGTGTGTCAATGTTGTGTGTCCAAATAGCATTACTCAAAATAAAATTTAAAAGAAAATTTATTAAACTTATATTTATTTTTAAAAAAAATCTCTCCCTGGCTAGTTTGTCTTATTAGAAAATATTTTACAGTTCGGCACGGAATTTTGTTTATTTAAGTTGTGTACTGCTTGAATACGACGTCGGTTCGTGCATTTTGCTCCCACCGACTCACGCAGCCTCTCTCATCTTACTTTCCTCGCGCGCGGCCATGACAAAACTGTCAGCAGAAGCGTCCTCAGCAAGCAATACACAGAATGGGAGTCCACGGTCTATGGGAACTACTGGCCCCCGTCGGCCGCCGCGTGTCCGTCGAAACCCTAGCCGGAAGAAGACTCGCCATCGGTACGCCCACCCATTCTCCAAACCCTAACCCTATTTTCGATATGAATCACCTTGCTAATCTATTTCGTGTGTTTCACTGGGCAGATGCGAGCATATGGATGGTGCAGTTTATGAAGGCAATGCGGGACGAGAAGGGAGAGATGGTTCGCAACGCGCATGTACTCGGCTTCTTTCGTCGAATTTGCAAGCTACTGTACCTGCGGACCAAGCCCGTCTTTGTATTCGATGGCGGAACCCCAGCCCTCAAGCGCCGCACTGTGATCGCTCGAAGAAGACAGCGGGAGAATGCCCAGTCCAAGCTTCGCAAGACTGCCGAGAAATTGCTTCTCAATCATGTTAGTATTATCTGCAATTTGTCTTTTCATTGTTTTGAATTGCTTCATAGGAATTGTAGAATGTGATGTTGGAAATTTGGGTTTGTGTGCAAGATTGGTGGTGGGAGTTGTAGAGTGATCTTTCCTGTCTATTTGTTCGACTTAGAATATGAATTATGTGGATTTTAATTTATTTTGATTGTCATTTGGTGTGCAAGGTTATTAATGTTTACAGATCTCTTTTCTTGTTGAAGAATTATTCTGCTGTTGTTTGATTATAGCTTCAACTGCATATGAAGACTAGGTAGTTGAAAATAAATAGCATATATTTCTGTTATTGATGCGTGAAATTGATGGTTTGTTTTAGTTCCAGTTGATTTATCTATATTTGGTTGTTGTTGATAGCTTAAGGCCATGAAGCTGAAAGTCTTGGCTGAGGATATTAAGAACCAGAGGCAGAATCAAAAGAATGATGCCAAGGGTAAGCAAAGTCTACCAGATCAACCTGGTAGGATGGGAGATGATAATTTAGAAAAAAATGATATGGCCTTGCTGAGTAGCAACCAGGAAAAGCTGGATGAAATGTAAGCTGAGAACACAGTTGCGGTCTTAGTGGATTAATCTGGTTTGATTTATGATTTTGACTGTTTTTATTATTATTTTAGGTTGGCAGCATCTATTCAGGCCGAGGAAGAAGGGGGTTCAGCAAAGAATGCATCAAAATTTACTGCCGCTGTTCCTTGTGAGGAGGATGGCGAAGAAGATGATGAAGAGATGATACTAGTGAGTTCTACGAGACTGATGAAATTTACTGTGTATGAATTGGAATTTTCAGAGCAACCTAGAGCGGCCACCAGTGTAGTGCATATTACATAAAAATGGATGATCTGGATGTTTTTTTGTTGTTTCATTTTTGGTCTATAGAATATTTGGGAGTTTACTCAAATCCCATAACTGGAAAATTAAGACTTCCTCTCTATGGGTCTGAGATTTAGGGCTCAGTCATTAGTGCTTAGCAGTAGCTTTTACTTATGTGGAAATGTAATGTGGTTGCTGCATGCCATTTATTTTGCAGCCAGAGATGCACGGTGAAGTTGATCCAGCTGTTTTAGCTAATTTGCCTCCATCCATGCAACTTGGACTTCTTTTGCAGGTAAGTATACATATTTGTTGTTTCTGATTTCAGAGAGTGAAGCTGAGAGAACTGATGAACGGTTTTGTGACTAGTCAAATAAGCAGGATAATGATGCTAAGGGTAAGAAGATTATGTCAGATCAAACTGAGATGGTGGGAATCAATTTAGAAAACTGCGAAGCGGTCTCAAGGAGTTGCAATCAAGAAAAGCTAGATGAAATGTAATTGTATATAACATGAAGTAGTTGTTTAAGCATGTATTTTCATGATTTTATTGATTCTTTGAATTTAAATTTAGGATTGCAGCATCTATTGCGGCAGAGGAGGATGCTGGTGCAACTAATAACGCGTCAACATCAACTGCTTCTATTATTGTTGAGGAGGATGTTGATGAAGATGACGATGATGATGAAGAGATGATACTGGTATGCTCTTAATATATATCAAAGGGATGATACTGGTATGCTGTTAATAGATATCCAAGGACCAAATCCAATGTAACACCCAGGTTTAATGAAACAAGGATTTTATCTAAGGATGTAATCTATTAAGTTAAAATCATTGGATCTGAGTATTGTTGTTCTATACTCTGTCAGGATGACTTAATCAACTTGGCAATCATGATTATTCCTCTTGGGTCTGTTAGATCTAATGCCTTAGTGTTATTAATTAATCATGGGATTTATTTACTCTGTTTAATTAAGTGTTATTATTTATAATGGGATTTCTTTACTCTGTTAAATTAATGTACGGTTGTATATATTTTATAAACTATCTTGCAGCCAGAAATGCATGGTAAAGTTGATCCAGCTGTATTAGCTGCATTGCCCCCATCAATGCAACTCGATCTTCTTGTTCAAGTAAGATTTTGTTTATGCTGGTCATGCCTTCTTGTTAGATTATGGGTATTAGCTTTCAATCTTTGCAATACTCATTCTGATGTCAGTCGTTGATTATTTCCCCCTTAGATTAGAGAGAGGTTGATGGCAGAAAACCGACAAAAGTATCAAAAAGTCAAAAAGGTTGGTTCCTATTTAATTGTTAAGTCATGTAATACATATGTTTTAATTGGAGCTCCTATTGAGGATAAGTTGCTTCACTTAAATAAGGTTCTATTTTTTGAATTTTATGGATGTCTTTTCATGGGTTCTTCTCATGCACATTTAGGATCCTGGAAAGTTCTCTGAGCTACAAATACAATCTTATCTTAAAACTGTTGCTTTCCGTCGCGAGATAGATCAAGTACAGAAAGCTGCTGCTGGGAGGGGGGTTAGTGGTGTCCATAGCTCACGGATAGCCTCTGAGGCTCACAGAGAGTTTATCTTTTCTTCATCATTTACTGGTGATAAACAGTGAGTAGTCACAGTTTTTCTCTTTACCTACAAGAAGATATAGCCCAGTTGCAAATTTTGTTGCATTGGTTGGCTTCTAATGAACTCCAATGTTTTAATATTTTATTTCTGATCTTTTGACTATTTATTATTCTGAGTAATGAATTTGTGGGTTTTTGTGTTTAATTGTGTCAGAGTACTTGCATCTGCAAGAGCTGATAAAAATGGAGATAAGCAACAAGCACCAAAAGAGCATCCTTCAAATTCCAGGAACAGTGTTCCATCTACCAATAATGTGACTGGAGCAACCCCAGATGAATCCACAAGTGTTTTTGATGACAACATTGAGACATATTTGGATGAGAGGGGCCATCTTCGAGTCAGTAGAGTGAGAGCTATGGGGATCCGTATGACCCGTGATTTACAAAGGAACTTGGATTTGATGAAGGAGATTGAACAGGAGAAAACAAATACAAACAAGATAATCAACACTAGGAATGTGCTCGATGAAAGAGACATTGACATTTCAAAAAGTTCATGTAGTAATAGAACAGTCATAGAAACATCATGCGGTGATAATGGTGATTCCATTGACACTGGTGTGTTGAGAAGTCATCCTGGTCAAAAGAAGGTTTTGGAATCCTTAGTTGGTGATAATAGCTTGAATGACAGAAATAATCAGTTTACGTTAAAACTTGAAACTCCTATAGAAATATCTATTGAAGACGGTGGTGAGAGCAAGTCTTTTGATGGTGATGATGATCTTTTTGCTTCTTTAGTGGCAGGAAATCCTGTAACTACTAATGCTAATGATGTATTAAGAAAACCATCTTCTGGTTCTGATTCAGACTGTGACTGGGAGGAAGGAACTGTTGCAGTGAAAAGTAAGGAGCCTCGTGTGGAAGGCAACATGAGCGATGACAGTGAAGTGGAATGGGAGGAAGGAGTTTGTGGTATTACAGAAAATACCTCATCTTTTCCTTTTGAGTGTGGGAAAACAGTTTCTAAAGGTTATTTTGAAGAAGAGGCTAATTTTCAGGAGGCAATAAGGAGAAGTCTTGAGGATATTGGGGATGAGAAGTGTGCTTATGCATCATCTGCAGAGGAAAAGTTGCAATGTTTTGGAGGAGAGGCTCATAAAGGTGCTGAATTTATTGATAGAGAAACTAAGATAGTTGAGGCAGTTTTGGTCGGGAAAATTGGTAAGCGACAAAATGAATCATCTTGCGATATTGTTGATGGAGTCAAAAAGATGAAAGGCGTTACATACTTGGATTCTCCTCCAGCACAAACAATGCAGAATGTAAGCGAAAGGGAAAATTTCTGTGGAGGAATGGAATGCGCTGAATCTGTTACTCCGTCAGGAACAAAGGAGGTCCATATGATTACTGAGCAAGTCTTGGGTACTTTCAATGAGGATGACAGTTTATCTACCTTGCCCAATACCTTAGAAAAACATAAAGCTCATTCTTTTGATGCCTTGTCTTGTGATGCTACCGATTGGGTTGATGATCAGAAGAATGAAATTGAAGCTGAGCCATCATGTCATATAGTTGAGATGGCTAACCCAGCTGCCTTAACGGGGTCATTGACAGAAAATCTAACAAATGATTGTGATGTTGATAAAACATGGGTTAAGGAAAAGAGTCATGACAATTTTTTTCAGGAAAGTGACCACAGCTGGGACAAATCTTCACTCAACAGTGATGCGAATGCACATGTTGAAGCCACAGAGGCTAATTTGGAGGAGGAAATGCTAATTCTCGGCCAAGAATGTATGAATCTGGGAGATGAGCAGAGAAGGCTTGAACGTAATGTAGAATCAGTCAGCAGTGAGATGTTCACTGAATGTCAGGTGTGTGCTCAAATTTTGTCATTATCTGTATGGCTTTTCCATCAGCAGAACATTTGTTCTTAGAAATAAATGACTTGGCATCTTTATGTATCTTACTTTTGTAGGAGCTACTGCAAATGTTCGGTATACCGTACATTATTGCGCCGATGGAAGCAGAAGCCCAATGTGCATATATGGAACTTGCAAACCTTGTTGATGGTGTTGTGACTGATGACTCCGATGTGTTCTTGTTTGGGGCGCGAAGTGTGTACAAAAATATATTCGACGATCGTAAATATGTTGAGACATATTTCATGAAGGTCTGGGATTCTATTGAATTACATGACATTCTTGTTTTCCCATTTCATAAATTCAATTGGTCAGAAACCTGAATTCTGTTCTTTCTTTAATTTACGAATTAGAAGATGCAATGCATATTATGCTCATACAATTTTCTTTTGTCAGGACATTGAGAAGGAGCTTGGCCTAAGCAGAGAGAAGTTAATTCGTATGGCACTTCTTCTTGGAAGTGATTATACTGAAGGAGTTAGGTAAACTGTTGCATTATTAAGTTTTTTGTCCTTGGGAAATGTTGGGTGTGGTGCTGCATCCTTTTGGATTTAGCTTTTTGGAACTATATATGGTTAATAACTAAAGATTCGTGTTGCGAATTGGACCTACTTCGGGAGTTATAGAATTTACACAATCTATTGTTGTTCACAACTATAGAGGTTTGGAATTCTTGGGTTTCCTCAATTTGGTGGTGATTTAGAATCTATTGGTTTTTCTTTTGTAGTGGGATCGGCATTGTCAATGCTATTGAAGTTGTGAATGCATTTCCTGAGGAGTATGGCCTCCATAAATTCCGGGATTGGATTGAATCACCAGATCCTACCATTCTAGGGAAGTTTGATGGTGAAACGGGATCAAGTGCAAAGAAAAGGGGGTCTAAGTTTGGGGATAAGGATATCGATTCACAGAGCAAGAAGGAAGAAGTCACTGCATTTGACCAAAATAATTGTCACGGTCAAGAGCACAAGCAGTCAGCTGATCTTATTGAAGAAATAAAGCAAACTTTCATGGATAAGCATGTAATTAGATTACCCTGTTTCCTGCGTTAGGCTTTTCCTCTGAATATTTAAGTTGTAAACGAATTATATTCCTCATCTTTGGATGCTCATATTTTATCTTATGCAGAGGAAAGTGAGCAAAAATTGGCATATTCCCCCCTCTTTTCCAAGTGAAGCAGTTAGTGTTGCTTATACTTGTCCACAGGTGGACAAATCAACTGAGCCCTTCACATGGGGAAAGCCAGATCATTTTGTTCTTCGCAAGTGAGTTCTCACCTAACATGAGGGTTGTTTATGGCTAATAATAGGGTGCTTCCTTTCTATTCACATAAAATGTCTGTTTTTCTGATAATCTCTGTTTGTAAGTAGATTATGTTGGGAAAAGTTTGGTTGGGGTACCCAGAAGGCAGATGAATTGCTAATACCCGTTCTGAAGGAGTACGACAAACGCGAGGTAGGTTACTTAAACCCCTCTCTCTCTCTCTCTCGAGCACACACACATGCATGTCCATTGCATTTTAGCAAGCTTTGTATTGTGTCAATTATTTATTGTAAAAGAAGATCATGACATCATTTTGTTACTTGTTTGGTGAAGACTCAACTGCGGCTGGAAGCTTTTTACACGTTTAATGAAAGATTTGCAAGAATTCGTAGTAAGAGAATCAAGAAAGCTGTTAAAGGTATCGCTGGAAATCAATCTTCAGAATTGATAGATGATGCTGCTCAAGAAGTTTCTAGAAGTAGAAAGAAGAGAAGCATAAATACTGATGAAGCTGGGGATGAAAAATCAGAGAAACTGTCAGAGGGAACAGAGAAAGGTGTTTTTAGAGATCAGAGAAATTCTAAAGGAAAGTCAACCATTAAGCAGTCGAGGAAAAGGAGGACCACTGAAGTGCCTGTTCCATCTGAGCGACCAAAGCCTGCTGAAGTGGCACGAACAACTAATAGAAGATTGCATGCAAATGGAAAAGGCAGAGGAAGAGGTAGGAAGGTATTGGGAAGAGGAAAGGGAAAAGAAAATCCCAGTGCTGAAGCATCTGAAACCAGCTCTAGTAAGGGCGATGATGATGATGATGGGATGGACCTTCATATGGAGACAGTAGAAGGGTCAGGAGAAGTGCGCAGGGTAAGCTTCACATTTTCTTTATCTTTATTTTGGTTGAAATAGATAAAGAACTTGATTATTGAAATCCTTCGTAGGCCACTGATTCTTATTGATTTGTGACTTGGTTCAGAGCATCTTTATATATGAGCTAAACTGTGCTACTAATCCGCCCTGGCAAAATTCTAGTCCTGGCCTGGCTAAAGGTTTTGTTTCCTTGATTGCTGTTTCTTTGTTCCTCCTGGCTAAAGGTTTTACTTACTAAATAAAGAACTAATGTTATCATGAAACTATCATAAGCCATCGAACTTATTACTATCTAGTTTGAAGATTCTGAACATTGTCGGTCAAATGGTGTGATTTTGTGCATTCAATCCTCCTTTGGGTGTCATGATGAGTAGTGTGAGCATCCATATGAGTTGAGTGTCACCAGGCCTTTGGTTAGTTCGACATGGTGCTGCTTCATGCATTTAGATGACTACCTGAGATCTGTATCATATTGAAGAATCTAATGTATGTCGATTTCTTCTGTCTTTAATTTTTCCTGTGTTTTTTTGTTTGGATTTCATATTCTCTGTCAGGGCGTTTGCGGAAGCCTGTAAATTACAGTGTCAATGACTTAGAAAATGATGATGTTGATGATCCACTAGATCACTGTGATACAAAATGCTCCAATGAAGAGTCAGGGGAACAACTTCTATCCTGGGACGAGGAGGATAAATCCGAGGAAGGTCCTTCTCGTTTCAGTGAGAAGAAACAGCAGAATGCAGGGAACTTGTCTCCTAATGCGGGCCTGTGTAATGATTATCTTGAAACAGGAGGTGGGTTCTGCCTTGTTGAAGATGAAACTGGTGAACTTGCAGGAGGTGGGTTCTGCCCTGTTGAAGATGAAACTGGTGAACTTGGTCTCAGCCAACACCATGATCCTTCTTTCGAGGCAGAGGTTTCTGAAGACTACCTTAAGATGGGAGGGAGGCTGTGCAGAGATGGTGAGAATGACCGAGATGAAATTGGTGTACAAACTACAGCTGCTGCCTCTGAAGATTCCGACCTTCTCAATTTCTCCGGCTTTGTCAATAAAGTTGATTTTGGTAATGCTTCAGTTCAATCCAGCGTTGGCACTAAAAGACCTTTACAAGGATTTGAAGGTTGTGAGAGGACAGATGCATATGATACTGAACAAAGTATAAATGATGAAATAGCTTCAAATAATGACGATCATTCAAAGTTGGGCGTGTCACTGCAGGAAAATACTGTAGATAATTCAGGGCAGCCATCCGTAGGGGTAGGAGCTCTAAGTGCAATGCCTTTCCTCAGGAAAAAAAGGCGGAAGACCTGAGGCTATGCATAATTAATTCTGTAAAAATATGTCTGCGTCATTGTGTGATTATCTTGTATTTATGTAATCATCATTGTGGTCTGGCATTAAGGCGCGTTTGATGTCAGGCCTAGTTTTTAGCGGAGCCCAATTTCATACTCATTTTATGAGCTTTACCTGGCTCAATTACTGGCTGGTTATAGGCCTATTTAAATTTATGGTAATTCTGCAGACACCAACTGCTGAGAATACCAATTTTAGCCTTCACGTAATTTGAAAAAGAAAAGCCAAGGACCCCAAAACCCACCCAAGAATTTCATGTATGGGGTTGAATTTCTCTCTCTTTTTGAGTCTTTAATTTCATGAAGGGTAAAACTGTTGATTTTAGGGGCCTCAAGTATATTAGTAGGCCCAAAGGTTTGCCAGGCGTAAAATAACTGAGCCGTTTTGCATGCCCGATTACCCCCATATCGGTTGTCTTGCGTCTTGGTTTGGGTTATATTTTAGGCCCAAAGTGAGGAGTTTATTCCAAGGGTTCAATTCTAACATAAGAGCATTCACAATGGGGGGGTGTATGTTAAATATACACCCCTTGTCACCGGAATCGTCTCCAATGGGGAGATGTAAAGGGATGTAAATATACATCACCACCATGGGGATGTAAAATAAAATGTATATTTATATCTATTTTTACATCCCTTGCAGGCGGGACCCACCCGAGAAAAGAGAAGAAAAATAAAGAAAAGTCAACATAAAAGGCTGGGACCCACGGCTACAGTAATTGATGGAAAAAAAATTCACATGTTATTTGCTCATTTGTGGTTTTCATGCTCCCCCAATGTTTTTGGATGAAATCATATCTTCTCCGAATTTAAATATTTTAGATATATTTGTTTTAAAAATTAAAATTAACCTAATAAAAATAAAATTAATTTTATAAAGTAAACATAAAATACAAAATTTAACACAAAAACGAATTCAGACAAACAAAACAATTATACATCTTATCTTTTACATCTTTTCCCATTGGAGCAAAAAACGTATTTACACCCCTCGGAGGTGTAAAGGGGATGTAAAAGTGGCTTTACACTCCCGAATTTACACCCCCCCACTGTGGATGCTCTAACAAATGTAGAAAATTAATGAACTTGAACATCTTAAATGGTTCGATGGTGGGATTAAATTCCTCAAATAAACTTCTCACTCTAAACTCCTCATTGCAGAATCTTACTGTTTACTCTAAACCATTAAACATTTTAAATGGTTTGATGGGATGTTTACTGTTTTGTCAGATACAAATCGTGCATTCAGGATTTTGTTAAAAGTAACTTTATTTTTTGGTCGAAATTGTTAAAAGCAACTAGTACTTGGTAACTTGGGGGTTAATTTGTACTCACCACTTTAACCCAAGGTGTACCATCACCACCCATCTCAACACTTGACACGTGTCCCTTGACATAACCATAGTTAACTCTTTATTTTGTGTTTATGCAATCATGGTTATGTCGATAGACACGTGTCAAATGTTGAGATGGGTGACCTTGGATTAAAGTGGTGAGCAAAAATGCTCCCGGTAACTAGGTAAGTATAACATTTTCTCATCTGGTGGAAGATTTGTCTTATCGTATACGTGGCACTTCATGATAGGGCCTTCCTGTAAATTTCACAAACTCTTGCGTACGGGAGCGGATGACCAAAATGTTCTTTTCTCATGTAGTCGTTTGGTTTTCGAGAAAGTGTGGCTCGGGAAAAAATTTCCAACGTTTTCTCGAGAAAAAAAATAGAAAAGAAAAAAACCCTAATCTCCCAAATGAAGTGTGACAGGAGTTCTCATTCCTCCTCTTAACGACGTCTCTGCATCTCCCGGCAATCAGATGCAGTCGGAATCGGCAAGCTGACCGGCGAGAGAACTCCACTCCTCCAGAGATCGCTACTTCCTCCCTCCATTGACCCAGGTCTCTCTTTTTCTCTCTCTCAATCTGTCTATATAAATGTATATTTTTACGTATGCTTACAAGTTACAGTCTATCACTGTGAGTGAGTGCATTTTGGGTTCTTGTTATAACAATTATTCTCGTTGCTTGAATTTGGAAGTGGGTTTGTTGGTTCTTCTTTTGGTACTATGAAATTCTTCCATTTAGTTGCATGATCTTTCATCGGTTCATTTGGTTTTGACTTTTGTGCAAACTCTATGCTTAAGCAAATATGTAATGACTTTCTGCTTGTGAAAAGAGATTGAAGTCACCACCAATTCATATGAATTTATTTTCTTTAGGTGGAAGCATGCATTTGTGACTAATTTGAATTCCAACCTGAAATTCTGGGTAGTTGATATCTCAAAATTATGGTAGCCTGTAATGAAATTCGAGTCAGTTTTGCTTTTTAAAATTTAATCTGAGTAGTTAGAACCATTTCTCTCTCATTCACACCCACAAACACATCACATCTGTTTATAGAACACATACATTCAAAATCCCTACTCTATGAAATCATGTGATAGAACATCTGTTGGTTTGGTGTTGTCATATAGCATTGCCATATAGCATTGTCATATAGCATTGCCATATTAATCTTTGTTATAACTTATACTAATAAAATGCAGTCGAAGTGGGTATTCTGTTTTGATATATATGCAAGTAGGTCAAAACTTGGCATCATGATGGCCAATTCAGGAGATTATTGCTGGGTGAAAACTGCAAGTAGTAATTGATCTTGAAAAACATTATGCATTGTTTTTATTTCATTTCCTGCATTATGCATGTTGATACCCTTGGAGTTCCTCAAGATAGCATTATAACTACTTCCCACGTTTATGTTCACCATATTCTTTCATATAGCACCAAACTACTGGTTTCTTATTTGATTGTTATTAATTTATTTTAGGAGTTGGAAATGGATCATTATGACCTCCATAGACAGAGAAGGGATTTGAAGCACAAAGGAAGGAACGTTGTTTGGTCACTTGCAATGGATAAGTGTTTAATTGATGCCCTTGCTGTTCAAGCTAGAAACGGAAACAAAATTGACAAGTGCTTTAATGAAAATGCCTACACTGCTGCTTGTATTGCTGTGAACTCTCGTTTTAACTTAAATTTAAACAATCAAAAAGTCATTAATCGTCTTAAGACCATAAAGAAGAGGTATAAGGCAATGAAAGATATGCTTAGTCAAGATGGTTTCAGGTGGAATCCAAGTACAAAGATGATCGAGTGTGACAATGAAGAGCTTTGGAAGAGATACATCGCAGTGAGTCTTTTTCTTCTTTCATTTCTCGTGCTTTTATTTGTAGTGTGCATATTGGTGATATTGTCAATTCAATAAATAGGCACACCCTGATGCAAGAGGGATTCAAGGGAAGCAGATAGAGATGTATGATGAACTAAAAATTGTATGTGGAAATTATCAAGCCCCTAGTCGCTGGGCTAAGATGAAGGATGGAGGCCATCCAAGTGACATGAAGAATTGTGAAGATGATTCTACCTCATTTCTTTCTCCAAGCTCCGATGACCTAAGTGAAACAGATGGAACAGAGTCATATAGTGGACCAGATGAGTATACCAAGATGCCAGATGGTAGTCAAGACCCCCCTCTGATCCAGCCCCTTAGACAACTTCCAAAACGCCCTCGTGGCTCAGAAGCCCTTCAGGATGCAATGATGGCTGTGGCATCAAGCATTCGTCGGTTGGCTGATGCAATGGAGCAAAGAAAATACTCTATTGATGCCTCTGAACTACTAAAGGCTGTGATGGAAATTGATGGTTTGGAAGAGGCTAAGCAGATGTATGCATTTGAGTATTTGAATGCTGACCCTGTCAAAGCTCGAGCTTTCATGGCATACAATGCTCAAATGAGAAAATTATACTTATTTAGACAGTTCTGGTGGTGGAAGTAATTGTCGACCCCAATTGTGGGTTGGTATATAGTTCTTATTTTTACAACAAGACTTGTATGCTGGGTGTTTACACATACTAAATCACCTGTGGTCTGTGTTTTGGGAGGTGTCTGTATAGATATTAGATATCCGCATGATCAATAGAATTGTGGCTAGCAGCCATCTTTTGCAAGCTTAAGTTTGTAGTAGGAACCAGACGATTCCTTGATTTCACCATTTATCTGATCTTTTTGTAAACTTGGAATATCTGGTGTACACTCCCCTCTTCTTTCATCATTCAATTCTGTCATGAATTAATTTTTTTCATTGCCTCTGCATTTTGTCCCCCCCAAATTGCCTTTTCCAAATGCTTTTAATTATTTGTTGTCTTTTTTTTAGTTGAAACCTAAAAAGGTTGCATTGGTTGGTGAAAGTGAGTAAACCCAGTTGTTTTGGTTCATTTTTTTCGTCAAAACCGATCATATTTTTAGTGTTCATTAAAGGATCATTCATGCAACAGTGAACACAAATCAAAACATTTGAACAAATAATAATTAAATGCCTAAACGAATTCTATTTCGAGTAAAACTATGTAGAACGTGATTCTTGAACGAGAACTTAAAATTGAACAATTCGAATCATGAATTATGGTGTTGAATGGGGTTTTTTTTTTTTTTTTTTTNNNTTTTTTTTTTTTTTGGCCAAAGTTAGGAAGGGGTAGAGGAGGGAAACTCACACACACAAATACCATGGGGGCTTGGACTCACAGCCACTTAAGAGCACACTAAAGACCTGCAATCCAACTAACACCCCATTGGTGGAGTTGAATGGAGTTGACCCAACCGAATAATTAGCCCCGTATTTAGCATTATCGCTTGCGCTTTTGCCAGTTATTGACTTCAATGATTTATAACTGGAAAAAGTTTCAAGGATAAAGAACTATTGATAAACAATCGAGACAAGTGACTTTCCCGGGTTAATTTTGCATGAAACAAGGTTCTTACATTCTGTTTCTAAAAGCGTTTCAAGATCTTTGTTTATTTGTGCATACATTTTAAAATGCAACCTACTGAGGAAACATGATCTGTAATAAATATGAATTTTAAAATAATAAAAAACACCAAATATTGATATATAATGCTCTTTTGTTGTTGTCTTTCTTCCTTGATGATTTGAGTCTGGTCGCTTACGTAGCGAACCATCTTCACAATTCTTGAAATGGCAGATCATCTTTATTACTCTGAAACCTTGAAAAATGTGTAGGACAAAATTATGTTATTGATGCCATCCATTCTTGGATCCGTTTCAAACTCAGGGTCGATATAAAAGAACACCTGCAAAAGTAAGAGGTCTTTTAGTAGAATGGTTTTGCTTAGAAAACAATTACTGATTTACAGAACACTACTTACAGGCATGTCAATCTGCTCCCCAGGAAGAAGGCGCTGCTCCTCGAAGCAAAAACACTGTATTTTATTGAAGTAAACTGCAGCCTGAAAATAAAAAGAAGCAGAAATTATTATGACAGATCACCTTCTAGAAAAATAGTTATGAAATACTTAACAGGAAAAAGGAAAACAACAATTATCGCTAGTCAAGCATTCTAATGCAAAAGACTCCTACAAGCGAGCCTTCAACTTATTATATTGGAAAATAAAGCTTGGAAATTTATTTTCTTTTTGCCGATTACTGCATGCCCAAGATATCTTTCAAAATTAGCTACAACACGATATACAACTCTCTGGACAAATTACGAAGTCTAAGTTTATAACTCTCTTGGACCCCCTTAAACATTCTAGTCAAGATGCTAACATTTTAGACCATTAAACCTCCTAAGATAATCAACATCTAAAGTAAAAATAAATCAACAACTCATTTACATGCGAGCTAGATAATCAAGGTTTATGAAACCAATAAAAATAACATATTGGAATACTTTTCATCGCAGAGTTGAGAAATCCATTTAGAACCCACATGACAAGACACTAAGAGAAAGAAAATCGAGCAGTACCTTCATAGGGGTAACATTATACGTAGAGACACCAACTATTGGAGTTGAACTTAGATTTTCAGCGGTATAAAAAGCAAGTGCACTTTCTCCAGGTTTGACCCTTACCTTCCAGAAATAAAGCAAGAATAAGTGAAGCATCAAAATCGTAGAGAGGTCCTTTACCATGAAAAATCAGCTATAACAATAATAAATAAACATAATGTATGAGAAAAACCTCTCTTTGTGTAGGAATAAACTTCCATTGCATTCCATCAGCCACATCAGCATTGAACTGCACCACAATCTCCCTAAAGGAAGTTATCATATGGAAAAAATTAATGCTGGGAACTTCATTTAATCAAAGTCATAGAATGATACATCTTGGAGAATAACACCTTTTCAGAAAAGAATAATATAATTTTTTTTTTAAATTACAAGAATAATAAGTTTTTATAAGACAGAAACAAAACAAAGGTTTACATAAAAACTTTTGAAGTTGAGTGGAACTAGTGTAATTAGGACAGGGGTAGTAACCTAGCAAACATTCGTTTATTAATATCTTAGGCTTGTGGTGGAGATGATAAATCAACCGGAGAACAAAAAATAAGGATTTAATAACTGCGAAAACATAAGAAGAGGGCAAGCTACTTTTGAAGCAGAAAGCAGACCTAGTAGTGACTGTGCCATCCTTAGTATGCCGAGCAATCTTCTGCTCAACACTCTGCAGAAAGCAAAACCGTAAGGTCTTGTTGTAATCAATCAAATTGGGGAAAAAACAAACAAATTATTAAAGCCCAAATGAGTTAAAAGAATCAGACCTCACGGCGTTGGACAGTGCCTCCATACCCAGTAGCTTGGCAGAATCTTCTGTAGAGAGGAACAGCTGCATAAGTGCTTGCCACCATTGCGAAAACCAAACCCGTAAGGTACAACAGCATCTTGCGTGATTTCTGTTGTGCGGTAGCCTGAGAAGAATAGGGTCGCTGGATTCTCAACAAAGATTGAGAAGCCAATGGTGGAAGCTGACCGCACTTTTCAAAAGAGCCGAGCTTGAAGCCCCAAATAGTCCTATCATGGCTAAAATGCCTCTGATATGCACTGCTACTACTACCTCCGATGAAGTTATAATTGGGTATGCATCTGGATCATCATCCATTAGCAATTAACATTCAAATTTCATGCCAAAGGCAGAAGGAAATCATCAAGTTCTCTGCTTTAACAACATTTTTGTAAGCAAGCAACATACCTGGATTCACAAGGGAAATGCTGTGAGTTCTTGAAGTAAGGCGACAGCGGAAGGGCTCTTTTGCAAACCCTTGACCATAACATGTTTGAAGAGTGCCAGAGGTCACTTGATATTCACTACTGGCAGCATATCTGCAACCAAACAGAAAGTAAGAAGACGACTCTGCAAAATTCAACCTTGCAATCTGACAATGCCTCCAGTCGTCCTTACCCGTTCCCAACCAGTTCTCGGAGCCCGGAAGGAGAAGCAGATTGCGATTTGAGATTTGGTAGAGGTCGAAGAATTCGCAAATAGAGCGAGCGCGTCGAAATAACGAGTCTAGGGTTTTGCGGTTGGGAAATGGAAGGCGTTAGGGGTGAGCATCGGTTCGAAACCAATGGTTTTTTACCAATCCAATCCAATCAAATCTTCTATTGGATTACAAATTTTACAATCCAATCCAATGTGTTTGGATGTCAGGATCCAATCCAATCCGATCCAATGTACATTGGATTGGATTGGATTGGATGATCGGTTTGTATGAAAAAATAATTATGATAAAAAAAACTTCATAATCTTTCATAACATTTAATTCAAAATTCAATATGATGAAAGATATGACATTAATATATTAATTTTTAATATAAATTAATATAATATTATATTTAATATGTTAACGTTTTGATTTTTTCGAAAGTAAGATTAATATATTAGTGAGAAACAAGATGAAATGTAAATATTATACAACATGAAAGTATATTAATGTGTATATTGGATTGGTTCGGTTTAGGTTGGATTTTCAATTCTTGATCCGCCATTTTCAAATCACATTTTTATACCACATTATATGGTCCGTAAGTCATTCAAATAAGTGAAACTCTATCATAAAAATGGTCCGTAAGTCATTCAAATAAGTGAAACTCTATCATAAAAATGACATTTGGAGGTATGACTATGTGTTTGATAGTCTGTATCAAAACTAGTTGAGTTTTTATTTAATCATTTTTTAATCATGATGGCATCACTCTGGTTTAATTAAACTGAAGAGATTAGTGGATTTTATAATGTAGTAGATAGTTAAATTAATCAAGAATTTGCATTTGTATGTATGTTTCTTGTTGTATATTCACAAAACTTAAATTAATCAAGAATTTGCTTCATTTTATCTTGTGGAATCCCCAAAATTGCATCTTTACAGCAAACAGACAACATTTAAAGACAAAGGATGACAACATTTTTAATATTTCTTATAAAAAAATAGTAATACCTTTTTCCTCTAGGTCATATATTCCTATGCTATGCTTGTTTGTGACTAATTAAGAGTGGTCAGCAAATTCAGAGAGAGAGAGAGAGAGAGAGAGAGCAGGGAAGCATGGATATGGTGGGTGATTGTATGTGGTGGGGTGTGCTACCTTTTGCAGCCATGGTAATGGTGGAGTTCACAGATGTGGGCATATCAACTCTGAGCAAAGCAGCAATGTCCAGAGGAATGAGCACTTATGTTTTTGTTGTGTACTCTAATGCCCTTGCCACCCTCCTTCTCCTTCCTTGTTTCATTTTCCAGTAAGGGGCATAGACAGTAATTCTCACACCCTTTCATATCCTTCCTTTGTGCAATTCATCATGTAAATGTAGTGATTATTTATACCTTCATGTAAAGTAATGAAATTCTGTAATTTACTCTGCAGAAAGAAGCCGGTTTCTCATACTCTTCCACTCCTTTCTGGGTTTTACCTCCTTGGCCTAATTGGGTAACATTAATTAGCAGCTAATTGTGTCTGTCTAGTGTTTATGCTTGCGCTCAGCACCTCAATTATCTCATTTGGCTGAAGAAAAATGCTGTTGCAGGAGTTCGAGTCTGATATTGGCATATAATGGCATCAACTACAGCTCCCCAACAGTTGCATCAGCAATGGGAAATCTTATACCGATTTACACATTTGTGCTGGCAATCATTTTCAGGTAGGTAGGTATGTTAGGCTTTAGACAAGTGATCATATATATTGCTACCTAATTGCATTTTTCTTTGTCATTTTTTATAAACTAGGATTGAAAAACTAGACTTAAGGAGATCAAGCAGTCAAGCAAAATTGTTGGGAACTATAGTATCAGTATCTGGGGCATTTGTAGTAATTCTTTACAAGGGCTCAGCAATCTTAAAGTTCAAGGCTTTATCACCATCCAACTTCCCTCCCCACCAGAACTTGATCACCTCACAACAGACAAAGTGGATCTTTGGAGGTCTTTTCCTTGCCTTGTCTTGCCTTTTGGCTGCAATATGGAACATTGTTCAGGTACCTTTTCAATCATTTAGAGATGGAAATTTCACTTGCAAACTAGCAAACTCCCATATAGGGAACCCTGACCTTGAATTTTTCCCTCTCTATCTGTCAGGCATCCATTGTTAACAACTGTCCATCAAAGGTGACCCTAGTATTCTTCTACACCTTCTTTGTGACAATCCAATGTACAATATTTTCACTGATTGTGGAAAGAAATCCAAATTCCTGGACATTAAGGCCCAACATCGAGATGATCGCCATTGTCTGCTCAGTGAGATGAACTATAAATCTTGGATTATGTTGCTATTTCAGTCTCTTTGATGCCATTTTGTTTACGGTGGTTATAAATTGATATGTACTGATATAGATATTTTTAGGCTGTATTTGGGAGTGTCTTTCGGATTGGTGTTCATACTTGGTGCTTGCACCAAAAAGGGCCTATCTTTGTAGCCATGTTCAGGCCCTTCGGAGTTGCCATTGCAGCAGTCATGGTGGTCATCTTCCTAGGCGAAGCACTTCACCTTGGCAGGTTTTATTTATATCTAAGTCATTACATTCAACTCAAAATATATATTCCACATACACTACGCATTTATATGGTCAATCCATCAAAAGACATGTATTACTAGTTAAGTAGATTGAAAACTTGATTGAATTTCCTTCCAGTTTGATTGATATTTACGTCTGGCAGTGTGATTGGATCTGTCATTGTTGCAATTGGATTCTATGCTATGATGTGGGGACAAATCAAAGAAAAGAGCATTGTGATGGAGAATGAAGTCCACAGCTTGGCATCATCCACCCAACAGACCCCTCTTTTGCAATGTAGAACCTCAGAAGATATATGACAAAGAAACTTGCAATATTTCATTCATGGATCGGATAAGCAAGAGGAGGAGCTATAATTATAAATGAACTATATCCTTCTCATTAAACTGTATTTTCTTAAATCACTGTGGAGATCACAATGAAAGATGATCGCCCTTATCTGTGCAGTGAGAAGAACTATAAACTTGATCCTTGAAAATGTTTGCTATTTCAGTGTCTCGTGTTTACGATTGATATATACTGCTCTTGATTGTTCAGGCTATATTTGGGAGTATCTTTCGTGTCGGTGTTCATACGTGATGCTTAGCGTTCGAAAAATCGGCCTAGGCGCTAGGCGGCCTGGGCGGGTCGGGTCATTTTTTTATTCCTGACTTCAAAGAAAACCTCACTCTGCCTCTCTCTCCTCTCCTCTGAGCCGTCGGCTCCTTCTCTATCTATCTCTCACGAGTCACGACAGATCACCACCAGCAGGCCTCCACCCGCGACGACCACCACCAAACTTTTGAAGAGCAGAGTTGTGACATTTTGTAGCAACAAAAAAAAAATCAGTTAAAAAGATTGATTGTTGTAAAATATCTAGAAACTATAAATTCCTTCATATATAGGTGATGTACAGTTGTTCACAGATGATGTATGTATCAGCAGCTCAAATAATAATGGCGTATTGTAATCGGTTTGCGTGCCACTGCGGATATTGAAGACTTGCAGCTTGCTCTGCCATTATCTTGCGATTAATCTTGCATCTCTAAGGGAGATGTAAAATGTAAAATGTAAAATTTGAATTTGATGGCTTATATAGCAATTTGACATTTCGAAAAAAATTTAACTCCATTCAAAATGTTAAATATCATATTATTTTATTATATTTTTAAAAACAAATTGGGCTCACATGATGCACAAAGTTTTAAAAGAAAGTAAATAATAGTGGGGTTCATGACTAAAAAATATTAAAATAATATTTAACATCAAGCTTTTTATGTTATTTTTGACATATCTCTTTCAACCTTCAAATTCATGTAGGATTTGACTACTCGGTTGGAGCATCTTTAAAGTTTAATTTTTGTCACTTCATGTCCATGTGGCATTTTAACATATCATGCTCTAAAGATGAGGATAAGCCATCACAATCCTTTCTTGACTCGGTGGCTGAAATCATTAAATAAGTACATAAAACAAAGAGTTTGGTTCTTCACTGGCGAAAGTGAATCACTTGAAGATGTATATCATTACTTATTAATTTCCTTTTTTTTAAAATTAACATTTGGCCGTTTCGAAGTTGAGAAAAATGATAATAATGCCTGAAGCATGCCATTTTGCAGAGAAAGGAGGGCAAGTTAAGGCATGATATGTCCATGTTAATGTATGTCATCAACAGTTATTTTTTGATGCATTAGTTGGTTCTGGTTGTCTTTGAAAATGACACATTTGTTGAATGTAAACTAATGAACTTGGATTACCTAATATAGAAGGAACTTTAGCAATTGCTTTCTGTAATAAGTTCATTATATATATAGATGGTTTGACTTGCTAGTGTATATCTTAATTATCAAATTAAAGTGACAGAGAACAAGTCAGTACAACTTCTGTTTCTCTTGGCTACTTATTCTTTAGAGGAAAGAAAAAAAGGAACAAGGAGTTTTCCGATTTCTGTGACCGTGGAGAGAGTAAGAGATGGTATTGGAATTTCGTGCATGGCGAAGCGCTGTTCCGTTTGCTGCCATGGTAATGGTTGAGTGCGCAGAAGTTGGAGTATCAACCTTAAGCAAAGCGGCCATGTCAAGAGGGATGAGCAAGTTTGTCTTCATTGTCTACTACAATGCCCTTGGTACCCTCCTGCTACTCCCCTATTTCATCTTCCGAAGGTGTCTATGATCTATCCTTTCTTTTAAATATTTTTTTCTCTAACTATTGTTGATTTTATTTGTATTTTGTTATTGGGGGAGTGTTCATTTCAATGTAACGTTTGAAGTTTGATTGTCCCCTTGTGCAGAAACAACCGAGCTCCTTTGAGTTTCAAACTCATTTGCAGATTCTTCCTCCTTGGCCTAATAGGGTAACCTGGACACTTAACACTTACTGCTCTCTCAACACACACAGATCTTAAATTTCTTATTGAAACAATTCATGCAAACATATAAACGATGGAGAAATTGTAACTGCAGGAGTACAGGGAAAATTTTATTCTTTGCTGGTGTCAACAGCAGCTCAACTACTCTTGCAGCAGCAATGGCAAATCTTACCCCCATATTCACTTTCTTGCTTGCCATAATTTTCAGGTAGTTGGGTGCAGGTTAATTTGTAATGTTACACAGAGAAAAGATTTTTGATTTTTTGTTTTCCTCACAGAAGTAAAACCATTTTTTAGTTCATCAATTTTATACTTCTATTCTATGATGGTTTCATTTTGACTAAGAAAGACTTTCAACTTTAGGATGGAAAAGCTAGATTTGAGAAAACCAATCAGTCATGCCAAATACTTGGGCGCCATTGTATCAGTGTTAGGGGCATTGATAGTGACCCTCTACGAGGGCCCTGCTCTTTTGAAGATTTCCTCACCTTCCGGCTTGACTCATCATCAGCCTCGCCTCTCACAGCAACATCATCAGCCTCTCCTCTCACAACGATCAAAGTGGATCTTTGGAGGACTTCTACTTGCAATTCAATGCCTCGTATCTTCGACATGGAACATTGCGCAGGTAAAATAAAGTCCCACAACTGACCCTCTTACTTTGGTATCATTTTGACTATGTCTTGTTAACTTTTTTTTATGAGATGGAATTTTCTTGTGACATGGTGATGAACTTATACTTTCAAATTGGTAAATATTGTTCTGAAACTGACATGAACTTATACTTTCAGGCAGCCGTTGTTAAGGATTACCCCGAGGAAATGACCATAGTCTTCTTCTACACCCTCTTTTTGACATGTCAATGCTCAGTTATCTCCTTAATTGTGGAAAGAAACTCAAATGCATGGAAATTGAAGCCTGGCATTGAGATGATTGCCATTGTGTACGCGGTGAGAAAAACAAAAAAACTTCTTTTTTATGTGTTAAACAAAATGTTTATTGATTGAGGAACTAATATGATCTTCGTTTCATCATATAGGCAATCTTTGTGAGTGTCTTCCGCATCGGTGTTCATGTCTGGTGCTTGCACAAGAAGGGTCCTGTTTATGTAGCCATGTTTAAGCCCTTAGGAATTGTTATTGCAGCGGCCTTGGGGGTTCTTTTCCTTGGCGATGCTCTTTATCTTGGCAGGTACGTGGTAAAAAAAACTTCTACCAGAGGGTTATGCAAATAATATGCGTCTCTTTGCATGCAAAAATGCATCTGAACCAATTTACTGAGCCTATAGAGTTCAAGTTTGCAGAAAAGCAAGCATCCTGTTTATTGATTGATTTATTTATTGTGCAGTGTGATTGGATCTTTTGTGATTGTGCTTGGATTTTATACCGTGATATATGCACAAATCAAAGAAAAGAGGATGGCTCTTGACAATGGAGCTCAAATATTGGAACCATCCACCCAGACCACTCCTCTGTTGCAAAGTAGCAGTATCAATCAAGTATGAAGAGGCTAATGTCGAAACTGGAGCAGCAAAAGTGAAAGTCACAAGAATGTGTATGTAAATTGTCTATATTAATCTATATATATAAAGCAAAAGGTAGAGAATGGTGAAACATTCAAAATACCAGAAAATGCCCTTGATTAATTCAAGCATTAAGAATTGAAATTGTTAATTAAATGAGGATAATATGGTAAATTTACTTTTTTTTTTCATATTAAAAAAAAATAATAATAAAAAATAAAAACAAAATCAGATAATATGTCCTACTTTTATAGAACATAACTACCCATGTTATCTTTTCTTAATTCTAAAAATAAAATAAAGAATAAAAAAGAAAACCAATTGGCACATGCGTGTTATATGTAATGCTAAGATTTTGTTAGCATCAAGTACGGACTTAGGGTTCAAAAATGGAGTGGGCTAACTTTTAAGCCGATTTTCGGAAATGCAAAATTCCTTCGAAATTTTAGTAGAATCTCCTATATTCATTATCATGGAATTAGGTATTATTACTTAAAATGTTAAAATTAAATATAAAAATTTAAAAAAATTAGAAAAACAAAAAGTATATAAGAAGATTTAAATAAGTAAAAGACACACACTCCCCTTCTACGCCTTTATGACATGTTTACTAATCTAAAGAGGAATTGAATTGAAAATGAATTGAATTGAGGAGGAGTTGGATCGAGGAGAATTGGATTCCGGATTCCTATTGAAGTTGTTTACTAAATCATATGGATTGAGGGGAGTTAGATTCCGGATTCCTATTAAAGTTGTTTACTAAACCATATGAAATTGGAGTATGAGTGGTACTAATTACTAAAATGTCCTTGTTGTTGGGTTAAAGTTGATTGCAAAATTGTGTGAGGATATAATGGGTAAAAAAGATGAATTCTGAATGGGTTAGTTCTTCAGAAATTAGAATACCACTTCCAACCCAAGAATTGATGTCACGTGCTCTCTCCAAAGTGGGTTCATGAGTTAGTGGAAGTGGTTCCATGGTTATTAGTTGTTGCATAATTGTAGGAGTCTACATGTCCCTAGACTTTAGTTGTTGAGTAGTTGTAGGAGTTTACATGTCCCTAGACTTTAGTTGTTGAGTAGTTGTAGGAGTCATGTTATCCACTTTGATAGTGGAGGCGTCGTTGGAAAAGTTTCCCTCTTTCTATGCTTTAGAGTCCTTGTTTGTATAAATTTCAATGGCTTTTTATTAATGAAATATCAGATATTATCCCTTACTGTTAGTGTTAAGCTCATAATTTCATAAATATACATGCCCTATTTACTTACTTCTTTTGCTTAGTTTCCTAGATTTCTATGTTATTTGCCTCCCTTTGTGTGTTTTGTAGGCCAAAGGAGCATGAGAGCATAATTCATGCAATTCAAGCATGTTAAGGCCTAATTTGGATAAAGGGAAGAAGAGCTTAAAGACAAACTCATTTTTGGCTACAGCCCCCTGCCAGTCCAGTTCCGTAGGTCATATTGCAAGCTTTGTTTCAGCAACCTACACAGCTCGGATGAGGCAGCATCCTTCATGAAAGTTGTTCCAATGGGTGTGTACTATAACATATCCAAAATTCAGCCCCATTGGATAAATCTGGAGTCCGTCACCTAGCAAACACAGATCCATGCTCAGGATGGATTTTTGTCAGCGAGCAAACTGAGTTAGAATTTCATTTCGGACTTATCTTCTTCATCCGAGCTTGGATTGGGCCAATACTTGTGTGGTTGGATCAGACACATTCTGAACTTCACAATGGACATCTTAAAGTCGTCATTTGCTTAAGAGAAGCCTAAGTTGTAAGCCCTTGAAGTTGCTGGTCATGCTGACCTCAGGATGAGCTATTGTTTCTGGTTGGAAGCTTGGTCATCTTGTAGGATGTTTGTGAACTTGGAGAATTTGAGAACTTAGGGAAGGAAGATAAATGTGTTTGTGAAGTGTTTGAGACATGGAGACTTTTGGAAGAGAAGGGAAGTAGAGAGATGTTTGAGAACTTTGAGGGAGAGAAGGGAAGGGAGCTCTAGAGAAGTGTTTGATTAGTTTCCAAGTTTCAATTATGGTTCATGTTCTTATTCATTATGCTTATAAGTTAATATGCTAGTTTGAATGATTGATCACCATTTAGGCTTGCATGTTAGCTATCTTGGTTTGAATTAAGAGTATACACCATGCTTTAATTCGAATTGAACTATGAATAGGAAGAGTATGTATGGACATTCGACAACAGGGATTAGATACATGCTTGGTTGTTTAAATTGTTCTTCTATGCTTAATGGGTTCCTAATGCTTAATTTTAGGTTAGACAACAAATGATCAAATTAGGGAATTAGGAACACAAGGTTATGACCACACACCATGGCTTAACCATACTTTAGCTAGAATCAATCCATTAATCTAATTGAACTTGGGAACTTATTTGCTTGAGTTACTTTCTTATTTTCTTTTTTCCTTCTTTCATGTTCTTTGTTTTTGTTTCTGTTTTGTATAGGGAAAATGAATTGGATCATTCAATCATCAATCCTCGTGGGATCGACCTCGCACTTACATATGTTATACTACCAAACGGCTCGTGCACTTGCGAGTATCACAAGTTGAGGATGCAACTGAATCCATTTTGGTGCAGCTGTATCTACACAACAGTTAGCTTGTCCAACTTGGAGGTTTGTATTCCCTTGAAGCAACCCTTAGGCCTTCTCCAACCTATGAGGGGCTAAACCCAAATTTTTCCCCTCCAAAAAGTAACTATTTGGGTTTTGCTCGGACTCAAATCGGTTTTTCTCCCAACCCTCCGAACTCAAATTTTAAGTCCGCAACTTTATTAAATTGTTTAAGAATGGTTTAAGTCTAATTGTTTTGTTATGGATAACTTTTCTTTATTTAATCTTTTTAAATAACTTCATAATTTAATTTTTTGAAGAATTTGACCTTAAAAAATTGAAATTCTACAAATATAATGTTTTTGGTAGATTATTTGAGAAATGAGTGGGTATTTATAGAGTTTGGGGTGAGTTTTGGAGTTGGATCTAATTTAGATTACGTTAAAATATTATTTTGATATTTGGATTTAAATTTCAACCGTTGGATCTTTTTTTTTTTACCGTTAAAATAGCTTTGATTTTATATATATAGATATCGTTGATTTAAGTGAATATTAGAATATAAAAAAATATAAAAATAAACACATAACATCACTACAAGACAAAGGCAGCATCTTCCACATGGGCTGTTGGCGGGCCCCAATTTGGGTCCAAATTTGGGTGTTCCCAAATTTTTGGTCCTTCATTTTCTTGAGTTGTGAGAGATTTTGGGCAATAATTTGGATTTAGGTCCTTGGGTTGAAGATGGCCTTATCGTCTAATTGTTATCCCAACTAAGCCTTTCAAATATTATTGCAGCCATAGGTGGCCGTAAGAAGAACACTACATTCCAACTACCTGTACCTAATCACCCAATCACACGAGTCCTGTTCCAAAAACATAACAATTGAATTCCTCCAAAATAAGGAATTCAATTCCTAATTTTACATGGGCCCATTTACTTTTCAATTTCTTGATGTGTAGTAAACGCAGGAATACTCTACAGTTGGAATTCAATTACTGATGAAAATTCCAATTCCTAAACACACCTGTCGGCAGCTCTCCATTCCCAACCTCCCACCGCCCCATCAAAACAACCACAGCCACCATTCTCTCTCTCTCATCTGCACCCTACGAATTGCAAATTCCAATGTTCCAAAATCTAACCAAATGATCATCAAGACATCAAAATTCCATGGGAAACACTAACCCATAATCAGGATCAACCAGAGAGAGAGAGAGAGAGAGTGTGAGAAACTTGAATTTCGGCCGGGCTTTCTTTGAGCAAAATTATGTTATATAGAGCATGATGTTAATGGTTTGACATAATCGAGAGAGAGAGAGAGAGAGATGGCATGGAGATTTATTCACCAAGATGCTCTGCCAGTCGCAGCCATGGTGACAGTGGAGTGCACCAACGTGGGCTTAAACGTCTTATTCAAAGCAGCCACCTCAAGAGGGCTAAGCTACTATGTTTTCATCGTCTACTCTAACGCAATTGCCACTCTGGTTCTCCTCCTTCTGTTTTTCATCTTTCGCAGGTCATCAATCTCTTACCAGACCGACTTGTCAAGTTTTGTATATCATCCAACAAATAACATATACTAATGAATTTATTTCTTCTTTTCCAATCTGTTACAGAACAGGGCTTCCTTCATTCAACCTCTCTCTGCTCTCCAAAGTTTTCCTCCTTGGACTAATTGGGTATTTTGATTCATTTTGTTATTTATACAAAATAAAAACCTGTTTTTCTTACATATAAATTGCTTATGTTTGATCAAGCAGGTTTTTGGCTGATATTTGTGGATATAAAGGTCTAAGTTACAGCTCACCAACTCTATCTTCAGCCATGAGCAACCTCACTCCAGCGTTTACCTTCATCCTTGCTGTCTTCTTCAGGTTCCATCTATCTTTTCCCCCATTTTTCTTTTAATTCCTGCACCTGTGGACCCTATTTCTTTTACAAATATCTTCAACAGGACAGACATTTTATTCTCCAGAGTAAAATTTTCAAAGATGGGTCCTTTTGATTTCTTGTGAGCTAATAGTATGATTGGCTGGTTATGTTATATATATGATGGTGATGTCTGAAATGACATTACTGGCTGGTTTTGTTTTTTTTTTAAATTTTAGGATGGAAAAGCTAGCCCTGAGAAGCTGTAGCACTCAAGCCAAAATCATGGGCACTTTGGTATCAATATCAGGTGCACTGGTAGTGGTTCTCTACAAGGGCGCTACAATTTTATCCACTCCATCTACAGTTTTATCCACTCCATCTACAGTTTTATCCCCTCCATCTGCAGTTTTAGGCATATCAGAAAAAATTTGGGTTATTGGAGGGCTACTACTTGCTGTTCAGTACCTTCTGTCCTCAACCTGGTATATCCTTCAGGTACACATATTTCCCACAAGCCCATTGCAAAATTTCTTCTTCTTTTTTCATTAAAGAGTTCTAATTCTCTAGAGGGTTAGAATATAGGTGTTTAGAAAATGGTTTTCTAAATGATTTTGATCGTTCTGTTACAGACTCATGTCATGAAGACGTACCCGGCAGAGATAGTTTTGGTCTTCTTATTCAACTTGTGTGGGACAATTATATCGGCTCCAGTATGTTTAATTGCAGAAGCAAACTTGAGTGCCTGGAGACTAAGGCCTGGCATAGCATTGGTCGCCATTATATGCTCGGTAAGAAAGTAAAAAACTATGAAATCAATAGAGCATGTGCTGCTGCCGGTGATGTATAATTATCAAGATGTCTCTGATTCTACAGGGATGCCTTGGCTCATCTTTCAGCTCCCTTGTGCACACATGGGGCCTGCACTTGAAGGGGCCTGTGTTTATATCAATCTTCAAGCCATTGTCAATTGCCATTGCTGCTGCTTTCAGTGTCATATTCCTTGGTGATGCCCTCTCTCTTGGGAGGTCTCTCTCTTTCTCTCTCTCCTCTCTCCTTGTTTAATCAACTTCAAGAAGAAAGAAGCAACCAGGCTTTGCTGCTTCTATGTGTCCTGTGTTTATTGTGTTGCTTATTTTGCAGTGTTGTTGGAGCTATAATACTTTCCATGGGCTTTTATGCTGTGATATGGGGTAAAGCAAAGGAAGACGAAATGAGTGAAGACTGCCGCTTTGAAAGCTCGAGAGCCTTACCTATTGCTATTGGGAAAACCCCTTTGTTGGAAAGCCACAAAGTTGAAAATATGTAAAAGAAAATTGTGTACAGTGTACAGAGATTTTTTTAAAATTTTTTTGGTCAATGTGAAATTCATTAGATAAGGAAATTATGTTAGATAGCCTAATGACATAGGATCACAAACACAATCCCATAGCAAAAGGCCAACCACACACAATAAACAAGATCCAACAAAATGAAAAAGGTAACAAAAGCCCACGCCAGAACAAACAAACTAGGGCCAGCAAAATAACAAACAAACATATTTAAAAAAAACCCTTATTTCCCGCCCCCCCAACGTACAACTGCTGTCAAATGTGCACGTAACGTGTTTGGGGTCATAAGCTTTGGCTTTATATATAAGTCGACTATTTCTGGTAATGTTTGGCCCAGCCACATCTACCAAAATACATCTGTCAAATGTGCACGTAACGTTTTTGGGGTCATAAGCTTTAGCTTTAGATATAAGTCGACTATTTCTGGTAACGTTTGACTCACCACATCTACCAAAATACATCAACTCATAAATAAGCTAAAGCTTAATGAGCCAATATAAATATACGGGTTCCCTCGCTGATTGCAGACCAATTTATCTTGCAAAAATGAAATGAAATTTTTTGTATCTGATCAGAGAAAGCATCAAGACCAATTATATATATATATATATATATATATATATATATTCTCGCCATATTCTCTCACAAAAGTTCAAAGTAGCACACTACTCGTCATATTCTCTTATATATCACAAAAGTTCAAGATAGCGTTCTACTCGCCATATTCGCCATATTCTCTTATATATATCACAAAAGTTCAAGATAGCGTGCTACTCGACATATTCGCCATATCCTCTTATATATATCACAAAAGTTCAAAGTAGCGTGCTATTCGCCATATTCTCTTATATATATCACAAAAGTTCAAAGTAGAACACTACTCACCATATTCTCCATTTTGAAACTAAGAAATGATGCACCATGCATTATTGAAAATTGATATCCTAGATTATTATATAATAGATGCCTTTCATACTAGTCATCTAACTTTGCTTGCATTATAATTTATGTGGACTCTAGCAATAATAATAATATATACATTTTGGCAACCTTCTACAGTTCTACGCAATATGCTATTATTTGCCCCATCTAGCTGACCAAAGAGACGTGTCACTTTTTTTTCTTTTTTTTGTTTGGATGGGAAGAGCCGTGCCACTTGTTTTCGTTAGGAAAAAGAGAACCTTAATGGGCCAATTATCATACCACATTTCATATCGCTATCAAACCATCAGTCTCCCTCTTGTCTTTATTCCGTCCATAAGCACATGGGTGGGTGTTACTTTGTGATCTCAGAGACCCATCTCTGTTTCTAATAAGTGGAGTGTGCAAGAGAGAGAAAGAGCAGAGAGAGAAGAGAGCAGAGATGGCAGGGAGGTCTTGTTACAGGGATGCCTTGCCATTCATGGCCATGGTGACTATGGAGTGCACGAACGTGGGCTTGAACACTCTCTTCAAAGTAGCCACTTTGAGAGGAATGAGCTACCATGTCTTTGTTGTCTATTCTTACTCTGTAGCTGCTCTTTTTCTCCTTCCAGCACCCTTCATCTCTAACAGGTCTCTCTCTCTCTCTCTCTCTCTCTGAAATCTCATATATATTCATCAAAGTTCATTACTTTAACAAAACAATTGATAAAAAATTAACAAAGTCTTCATCTTTTGTAACATGCATGCCTGATTTCTTAATCTGCAGATCAAGGGTGCTTCCTCCGCTCAACTTCTCCATAATGTCTAAAGTTCTTCTTCTTGGGCTTATAGGGTACAATCACACATATATCTTCATTTTCAATAATAATAATTAATTAATTTGATACTAAATTGGGCTTCTTGGACTGCATATGGGCAGGAGTTCATCTCAGATCATGGGGTACACAGGCATCAATTTCAGCTCTCCAACTCTTGCTTCAGCCATCAGCAACCTTGTGCCTGCTTTTACTTTCATTCTTGCCATCATTTTCAGGTTCTTTCCCTCTTTCGTGATCATCCACACTTACCATAATACCCTCAAGTGATAAAAATCCAATGACCTAAATAGAATAGTGGTGTTGCTTTCTGAAAAAGGGTCAAGAGACCAGAGAAATTAATCAGCTACTTTTGAATTAGGACAAGAGAGAGAGAGAGAGAGAGAGAGAGAGAGGTGTGTGCCACAGTGTGTGTGTGTGTGTGTGCGCGGCCACTTGTGGGCGCTCTTGTGCTTTTACTCCTCTGTTTTCTTGCTATGACTATGAGTGGCAGTGGGCCCAGACTCAACATGAGAGAAATAATTAATTGTTGCCGCCCTTCTAGTTTGTTGTTATGGTAAAAAAGCAAAAACTAACTTTATTCTCTCTCTTGTTTACCCACCGGAAAAAAAAAAACAAAAAAAGGATGGAAAGTGCAGCCTTGAGAAGCAGTAGCAGTCAAGCCAAAATCTTGGGTACAATAGTTTCACTTGCAGGTGCATTTGTGGTAACTCTCTATAAGGGCCCACTAATTGTGTTTGCTAATCAATCACCGTCTACTTCACATCACCAACCTCTTCTAAACTCAACAACACCAACAAACTCAAACTGGGTCCTTGGTGGCCTTCTGCTAACAGCTGAATATATATTGGTACCACTGTGGTACATCGTTCAGGTAAATTATGCAATTCTTCAGCTGTTTTTGTTTCTTTTTTCTTTTTTTTTTTTCTGAATATTGTAAGCCTTATTTCCAAAGTGATAAAACCTTTTACAGGCACAAATTATGAAAGAGTACCCGAACGAATTTACTGTAATTTTTTTCTACAATGTATGCGTGGGCGTTGTAGCTGGCGTTGTTGCTCTGATTACAGAACCAAATTCCAGTGCTTGGAAGTTGAGACCGGATGTTGCATTGGTCTCCATTTTGTGCTCAGTAAGAAATTAACAGACTATACTGAGCAATAGTTTATGTTGTATTATTGCATATAAACAGCGCCTATCTAAATATTGCTGTTTCTTTTTTTTTCTCTCTTTGTTTAGGGGTTATTTGGGTCATTTTTGAACAATACTGTGCACACATGGGCCTTGCGCTTGAAGGGACCTGTCTATGTGACAATGTTCAAGCCTTTGTCAATGGCCATTGCTGTTGCCATGGGTGTCATCTTCCTTGGTGACACTCTTCATCTTGGAAGGTTTGATAACATAACTAATCTCTTCCCTTAATTTTATGCTTTGGCTTCTCCCCAAGATTGAATGGGGATAGCAAAACAGTGCTATTCCCGTGACATGCAAGTCCTTCTCCTCCATCTGGTCACTGTTTAAATTTTCTGCATTTTGCAGCCTAGTTGGAGCAACAATAATATCGATCGGGTTTTATACGGTGCTGTGGGGAAAAGCAAAGGAAGAGGCTGTTGAAGACTCTGTAGCTGAAAGCCTGGAAGCCCCATCTTCCCACAAGGCCCCATTATTGCAAAAGTATATTAAAAACGACAAGATGTAATAGATCAAACATTTGCAAATGTAAATATGTGTGAAAGTCGGATACAAGATGTTCAACGCCTATTTGCTTACTAGAACTGTTGAACATGATTAATTCTGGTTGGAGAACATCATTGCAGATGTTGTAAATCCCCATGTGACAAAAGCCCGCCCTCTCAACAGACAGTATTTCTAAGACCGAAAACTTAAAGCCTCAATCTATGTTGAAGAATGACACAAAAGAGGACTTGATCCCTTGAACTTCACCAGCCCCTGGGAATTTTATGGGTTTTTCCGAAAGGATGTTGAAATAAGGTTTTGGGAGATTGAATTCTTGCAAGCAGAACCCTAATGCAGTGTTGGAAATCGTGAATTATTGCACACAAAAAATCTGTTTAATGCATGTAATTAAGTGTATTTCGTATTGCTCTGTTCTGCGGGTTGTTCCCGGCATGTAACTCAAATGTTTATTCTGTAATGGATGCATGACACTCATGAGGGGCAATGAGATTGGAGACTTACCTCATTTTGATAGGGTGGACTTAACACTTAGCTGGAAATCCAATTCTACAAGGTCATCCAAGACCCTGAAACTTGAGGACATAAAACTTGCATCAAATTGATTTCATATGAAGAATATGTTTTTACAATCCCAAACTATGCTCTTGTACAAGTGACATTATTTCCTTTTGCCCTTACTATCAAATAATCTATGACTAAAAAAAAATTAAAAACTTATCCCATAATGATGACTCTGAAATTTGGTTTGGGACAAGTGTTATACTTGGTTTCCTGTAAGAGCATTCTATAATTCATCTATGTCGCTGGCTAAAGGAGAAGAGGTCTTCCGTACTTCCTCTTAAAAAATTTCTTTAGTCTCTTGTACTTCCTCTAAAATTGTTATCTCTAGTCTTAGGGTCATCAAGTGTCGACTGTACTTCCTCTAAAGAATTCTCTTTACTCATAAGATCATCAGACATGGCCGAAGATATGCAATGTGTCATGAGGATATCCAGTGTTGCTGCCCTGGCAGTTTTCGTCTGTAGAACAACCATCTGCGCAGGAAGTATGCAATTCAGCCATCGAAGGAAAATTGCAGAGCATGCATGCATAATCCATGCATATGTGTGCATGAGAGAAAGAAACAGAGAAAGAACCTGATTGTATTCCAAGCCAAACTTTAGGTACTCGTCATCACAATTCTCAACCATGCTGGCCAAGCTCTTCAGATTCTTCACAGACATACCATTGAAAGTAAGAACCTGCACAGATAGCAGAATAAATTTCACAAGTTCATTGAATCTTATTTCACCAATTTTTCCTCAAATCATTTGCTGCATCTCATAGAGAAAGGGAAAAGAAAAGCTTAGTTCCTGACCTGATTGTTAACGATGTCCTCATATCCAATGTTAATGTCAGCAACAAGTACCTAGCACAATTTTGAACAATGTAAGACATAAAAGAAGGGTAACAAGAACTTATACTAATACAGAAAAACATGGAAAGATAGAATGAGAGAGAGAGACCTGAGAAACAACAACAAGCTGTTCATCAATAGACTGTGCCATTGCATGTAAATGCTTGTCCAACAGTTTGATTGGAACTTCAAATAGATTTCCAAACTGGAAATGAATGAAAACCCCGAGGTTAGGATTTAGAAACATAGTACTGAAATCTAATATATTTATTTTATAATTATACAACGAGAGCAGAAACTAATAGGCATATATATCAGTCATACAGAGAGAGAGAGAGAGAGGGCACACCTCAGAACGCAAATATGGAAGAGAAACAGCTGTGAAAACAAATCCAGCAATGATATAATAGGAAGGACGTTTTCCCTCAATGTGTGAGGGGATGAGTTCCTTGTGTTTTGCAAGTTTAATGTTGAATTCAAGTGTCTCTGAGTTACGAAGAACTTTTACTACAGCATTGTCACCAATGTATTTTTGGGAGACAAGGTAACTGAAACCTATGCGCTCTCCATGCCTGAATGGAACTAGAAAATTGATACAAAAAATGCTGTGAATACTTAATATAAAGAAGCTTCTGGTATTTAGACATGTACTGTTATAAAAAATTTTTTATAATAACAGTAATAACAAGTATGTGTTCTTTGAAAAAATGCTATAAATTACAGTCCAAATACCATATGTCACACTTCATTTGTGAATGTTCAAATGCCACTCTTCTATAAAGAATGCAACATACCAACACACATGAACGCAAAAGTGACTTGAAAAGAGAACAGAAATCTTTCAAAATCATAAAAGGTTTACCTGTGCCATCATTAGCAATGTTAACCCCATCAAAGCTAAGAATAACATCAGATGGCTTCAGCAGTTGAGATTCTGGAGATGTAGGTTCCATTCTTCTAATACGCACACCCTTTTGATCAGGTCCCATCCCCATTGACATGCGAAGATCAGGATTTTCCATCTTTTGCCACTCAATTCCAAGAATTGGGAAGCCTGTATATGCGCCATTCTTCTCATAATCCTCAATGAAGTGCATAATAACCGGTATGGGTATGACATAGCCTATATTTTCCGCATCTTCATGTTTAAGGGACTGAAATGCAATGCCCACGCATTTTCCCTTATCATTAAAGGCAGGTCCACCAGAGTTTCCAGAGTTGATTGCAGCATCTATCTGCAAAAAAGCATCTCAAGGAGAAAAGACCCACGAAAACACGGTAAGACTCAAAATCAAGTGGTTTATAGTTTCATCGTAAGATACTAAAAGGCAAATAGTATATCCCACCTGCATTCCCAGAAGCTCAGTGGAGCCGTGAACATAAGACAGTATCTCCATGCGTGACACAACACCACTAGTCACAGAGATTGTGTCACCCCCAATTGGGTACCCAACAACAGTCACAGCATCTTGGAGTGCAGGCAAACACCCAAATTTCACAGGTGAAATCCCTTCCCAGAACTCATCATCACTCACAGTAAGCATCGCTGAAGCATCACCAATAAATGGAAAAACAAAAAACAAAAAAGCAACAAACTTTAACATGTTAGCAGCAAATAAAAGAAGCGAAATTAATAATAAAAATTAAAAATGTTGCATACCAATATCACACTCAGTTCCAATGGCTAAGACAGTGGCCAAGTACTTGGTATCAGAGCCTCGTTTCTTGAGCTTAACCTGAGTATGATGATCCACAGAATGCGCATTCGTCAAAACCCTTCTGCCCCCTATCACAAACCCACTACTGCTGGAGCTGTACTGCTTCTTCCTCTGCCAAGGCAACGAGAAATTAGGCGCCGTGTGCACGCAAAACACCTTCACCACGGCGTCCATGGACGGGACCACTCTCGGAGCGCTCTCCCACCTCGGCACCTCCTGTAGTGGCTGTGAAACGACAGCCAAGGCGTGCCCACAGTCGCCGTTTTGGTCCACAAGTCTGGGAGCCGCTATATTATTGGGCTCGGTTGAAGGGACGGAAACGGCGTCGTTAATAGTGGCTGCGCTGGTGGGATTGATATATTGGAGATACATGGTAGTGGTGGGTATTTGGTATTGGTACAATTGTAAGAAATGTGGGTTTTTGAGTTTTGGATTTCTTTTTTTTCTTTTTATAATAATTAAGGCGTAGAAAAGGGGTCGTTGAGTCAGTCGTCATAAAAAAAAACAGGAAAACTGGATTTTCAGACCGACCGGAGACTCATACAGAGTCAAAGGTGGCTTCCTGGAACCTGCGCGGTAACTAACTAACCAGAGGTTGAGGAGTAGAAGACAAGTAACGAACGGAATGGGAACTTTTTAGCTATCGTGCGTTCACACTTCACATGGTTATGAGAGACGTCAGACTTGGGCCTTTGTTATTAAAAACTATTTAAGGTACCAACAGGAGTTGGTCCAAGTGGAAGAGGCTTGGATCCTTTAAACAAGAGGTCCTGGGTTCAATCCCAGGCGCTTGCGAATAGAGCAAACTTTGTTGGGAGAGGTCCCCGCTTTGCGCCCGACAGTACCTCGAGGGTTAGTCCCCGCAATCGCGCGGGGGATACCTTGGTTTTCACAAA